ATAAGATAAACCTTTTCAATGCTGTTGTAACTTGGAAGGGCGACTAAATGAACAGTTGCAAGTCAAGGGCTTCCTGTGCATACATTCCACGATGCTCTGAAGCAGAAATTGCTTTCAAAATTCCGTTTGCAAGGTAAAATATTAAGAGAAATGTCTCTTGGAAGCAGCGTGGTGTCCTTAACCAAATGGCCCATGGAGGTGTGTGAATATGAACCTGTCTCCATCCCACAGGCAGATTTCCAAGGTGATGTGTGAACTGCGGCCATCTGCACGTTCCTCTGTTACCTGAGCCAACAGGTAAAAAGCAACAGCTGCCTTACCGGTGCACAGCAAAATTTTTTAATAAAAAGTGGAAGAGGTTTCTGCCTCAGTGAGCTGAGAAATTGGGTTCCAAAATGAAAGTAATCCAGTCACTGAGACTTCTGCAAACACGTGACGTTCCTTTTCGGTAACTCTTGTTTGAAATTCTCTCCAGCTGCTTGCAGTTTCCCTGGCTTAACACCCATCCAGGAGGGAATTTTTTTCCCTGGGGAATTTAGAAAAAGTGGACACTTGGGGAACGTGCGAGGTGCTGGGAAAGACGAAACGGGGCAACTCGTTGCAGTCAACTCAACTGTTGGATAACTTGCTGTGGGACAATTTAACAATTCAATATAATGCAGGGGTGTCAAACTCCATTTCATTGAGGGCCGCATCAGCATTGCGGTTGCCCTCGGGGGTGGTGGGTGAGTGTGGCCTGGGTGGGTGCAGCCTACTGGGTGGGCATGGAGGGAGTGGGTGTGGCCTACTGGGTGGGCATGGCCAGCTCTACATCGTTCGCGTCAAGGGTGCCTGTGGGGGCCTGGGCAGGAGTGGGACAAATCTGAGGGTCTCTGGCAGAAGGGGGTGGGACCAGGGCAAGCGCCAAGGCATGGTCCATTTCTTCATTCCTCACAAAGGGTGGCACCTCCCCAGCATGCACCCAGGGGGCGGGGGCGACACGGCAGGGGCTGGTTCATCACTGTTTCTGGACAGCCTTGTGGAGCTAAGACTGAATGCATTTCAGCATAGACGGCCACCACAAAATTGTACATTGGCTCCCGGCCGGCCTGGGCCAGGGCCAAGGCAGCGGGGGCCGTTCCCTCACTGTTTCCAGGATGGCTTCGCGGGCCACATGAAACCACTTCGCGGGCCTCATCCGGCCCCCAGGCCTTGTGTTTGACATGTCTGATGTAATGATTTAAATAAATAAAAAAAATATTTTAATATCTGTCATTCCCATTTCATTCTGTCCCTCCTTTCTCAGCCTTTCTTTGACGATTCTATTTCTTTGCTATTAGTGTAAGTCTTGTGTTAAATTTAAATGTACCGACAAAGAATTAAAGGGAGACTAGTGTAGCTATTTCGGTCCGTTTAATTCTTTGTCAGTACATTTAAATTTAACACACAAACAGTTGGTCGCAGGAGTGACCGGCTGTGAAGACTCCTAGATTGGGGCTGAAAGGCGAAAGTGGAAGCCGTAGGCTCCGTCCCAAATTTGGGGTAGACCAGGTTGCCCTGATAGACCGGTTTCACTGGAAAACACTTAGCGTAACTCTTGTCCTGTGGCGAGTTGCCCGTGGCGAATTGTTCTAGACCAGGGGTAGGCAACCTTGGCTCTTTTATGACTCGTGGACTTCAACTCCCAGAATTCCTGAGCCAGCCATGCTGAGGGGAAAGGGAGGTTTCCAAGCTGAGCCATGGTGGCTCAGGAATTCTGGGAGTTGAAAGTTCACGAGTCATGAAGGAGCCATAGTTTCCCCCATGCTGGCTCAGGAATTCTGGGAGTTGAAGTCCATGAGTCATAAAAGAGCCAAGGTTGCCTACCCCTGTCCTAGACCCCTGGAAAGAGGGGTAAGGAGAAAAAAGCAGCATCACCAGCTCCCAAATGCCACCAAAGATGAAAAAGTATGTCTCAAGGACCCTGGGAATGAGGTAGAAAAACAGAAACCTTTCAGGAACGGCCCAAAGTGGAAGAAGCTGCATTTGAAGGAGGGCAATTTTATTTCATAAAAAAGATGCTGAGACTCTAGAAAGAATGCAGAGAAGAGCAACAGAGATGATCAGGGGACTGGAGGCTAAAACACATGAAGAACAGTTGCAGGAATTGGGAATGTCTAGTTTAATGAAGACATTAAAGCAGGAGAACCTATACCCTTTCAGACAGGTGGCTGTCTAGCCTCTTTTTAGAATAGAATAGAATAGAATAGAATAGAATAGAATAGGAGCTGGAAGGGACCTTGGAGGTCTTCTAGTCCAGCCCCTCCTCAAGCAGGAGAACCTATACCAGTAGTGGCGAACCTATGGCACGTGTGCCAGAGGTGGCACTCAGAGCCCTCTCTGTGGGCACGCACATCATCACCCCAGCCCCGCCTCCCCCTGCAGCCCCCTCACCAGCAGCCCCCCCGGAGAGTCACCCCAAAGCGCAGCCCACACGGAGCAGCGCAGCCAAGGACATGGCAGCCGGGCAGCGGGGACAAGACTCTGCCCACGCGCCCCATCATGCGCAGTTGATGCTGTGGGGCGCGGGCAGAGGACATGGCTGCCATAGCACTGCTGGGCCGCCTGGGCGATCTGCGGCAGGCTATGGAGGCAGTAAGTGGGGGGATGGGGTGGGGGGTGGGGAGCGGAGCAGGCAGGACGAGGGCGGAGCAGGGGTGGGTGGGGGAGCAGGGCAGGGCTAGTTTTTGGGCACTCGGTCTCTAAAAGGTTCGCCATCACTGACCTATACCATCCCAGACAGGTGATTGTCTAGCCTATTTTTAAAATAGAGTAGAGTAGAGTAGAGTAGAGTAGAGTAGAATAGAATAAAATAGAATATAGAGTGGAGTAGAATAGAATAGAGTAGAGTAGAGTAGAGTAGAGTAGAGTAGAGTAGAGTAGAGTAGAGTAGAGTAGAGTAGAGTAGAGTAGAATAGAATAGAATAGAATGGAGTGAAGTGGAGTGGAGTGGAGTGGAGTGGAGTGGAATGGAGTGGAGTGGAGTGGAGTGGAATGGAATGGAATAGAATAGAATAGAATAGAATAGAATAGAATAGAATAGAATAGAATAGAATAGAATAGAAGCTGGAAGGGACCTTGAGGGTCTTCTAGTCCCGACCCCTGCTCAAGCAGGAGAACCTATACTGTCTTAGACAAGTGACTGTCTAGCCTCTTTTTAAAATAGAATAGAATAGAATAGAATAGAATAGAATAGAATAGAATAGAATAGAATAGAATAATAGAATAGAGCTGAAAGGGACCTTGGAGGTCTTCTAGTCCCGCCCCCTGCTGAAGCAGAAGAGGGAGGCTGTTGTCTCCAGAAGACTGTCAAAGAAACGTGTTCAAATGTCCTAGAAATAAAAAAAAAATGAAGGCTACACTAGACATCCCAAAACACACACACACACACAGACACCCATATCTACACACAGAGACCACTTTAGTTCAGCTTTAATAAACCTGCAGGAGACCGTCGTCTATTTTCCGATCTCACTTTCAGTTATTTGGGCTGTGGCTGACTCTTGGCTTCCTGCGTCTAAGCCGCCTTGGCCCAAACCCCCATTTCCATCCTTGCTTGCTATTCGGAGCGGTCTGATGCCAGCAGACCCTTCAGGGAGGCAGGGAGGGCACTGCGCCATTAAGAGAGTGGCATTCGTGGGAGGGAATCCTTTGCCGATGCCAGCTGGGAATTGCATAAAGCTCAGCCGCTGTTTTTCCTTCCGGCAGGTGAGGCCTCTCAGGTGCCTGTGCAGGTGTTTCGACACACAAACCAGCAAATCCAAGAAGAAAAGGCCAACCCACATAATAGGTGTGAGCCACGTGTGTGTGTGTGTGTGAGTGCACGTGAAGGTGATAACACCACAAAGGGGGGGAAAAAAGAAAGAAATATTTATTTCGTATTTTTTTTGTACTTGTACACAAGTAAAATAAAATGCATTATCTATATATATATATATCTATATTCATATTTATATATATACTGCAGTCTTCGGTGAATGAAAAGGGAGCATTCTTTAACAAATGCCTCCTCCTGCAAACCCAGTCAAGTGGAAACGAAAGGAGGCGAAACCTCAAAATTCAGAAATGTACATTATTAAAAATGCCACTGACGTGATTCTCAGCAGATGGGGAAAAAATGTGCAATACCTGATTTAGGACTTCAAATTACAAGTAACGATTTTGGGGCGAGGGAGAACATTACAAAGATGTGTGGGGGTTTTTTGTACCTCTTATTTTTCTTCTTTCTTTCTTTCTTTCTTTCTTTCTTTCTTTCTTTCTCTCTCTCTCTCTCTCTTTCTGTTTCCTTCCTTCCTTCCTTCTTTTCTTCCTTCCTTTCTTTCTTTCTTCTCTTTCTTTCCTTCCTTCCTTCCTTCCTTCCTTGCTTTCTCTTTCTTTCTTTCTTTCTTTCTTTCTTTCTCTTTCTCTTTCTTTCTTTCTGTTTCCTTCCTTTCTCTTTCTTTCTTTCTTTCTTTCTTTCTTTCTTTCTTTCTTTCTTTCTTTCTTTCTTTCTTTCTCTTTCCTTCCTTCCTTCCTTCCTTCCTTCCTTCCTTCCTTCCTTCCTTCCTTCCTTCCTTCCTTCCTTCCCTTTCTCTTTCTTTCTTTCCTTCTTTCCTTCTTTCCTTCTTTCCTTCTTTCCTTCCTTCCTTCCTTCCTTCCTTCCTTTCTCTTGTTTTCTTTCTCTTTGGGAAAAGGGCAATTCCAAGGACAAAGGCAAGATCAACCCATCAAAATCAAACATATAAAATTCCAGAAGGAAGAAATAAATTATTTACACCCTTTTTTGTTGTTGTTGTTGATTTGTGTGTGTGTTTGTGTCTGTGTGTGTGAGAGAGTTTATAAAGGCATCCAGTAAATGTTTAGCATCACAACGTTTTCTCTGGCCATAGCTTCCCCTTCTCCTTCACAACCTTTGGGGCTGAAGCTTTGCCTTCCCCCCACCCCACCTCCTGTTTTCCCCCTCTGAAAACCGAGAGCCCCTCCTGACACCAAAAGGCTTGAGTTCAAGAGAAGCAAAACAGACTCCACACGACGGGGGGCAGCAGAAGGCTGGGGAAGGCCGGGGGGCTGGGACTGCCACTGGGAGCCGGCTGGGCCATGCGGCACTGGGACCTGGACTTATTCCTTCTAGAACATCCCTGCCTCCTTCTGGTCGGGCTGGTGGAGGGCTCCACGGGACCCGGGAACTCGGGTTTCAAGTTGGTCAAGGGGGGCTCGACCGCACTGGGGTACGTCCCAAAGGGCGAATCGTTGATGTGCTTGTTGCTGCCATTTTTGGGCAGATCTGCCTCCTCAACTTGGTGCTTGGGTTTGGCCATGTTTTCCTTATCCTTGAGTGGATTGTTAGGGGACGCCTGGTTGCGGTGAGAAGGAGGCCCCCCCTTGGCTTTGGCTTCGTAAATGAACGATTTATCCGTCTCCGGCTGGCAGCATTTCCGCACGTCGTCCTGGGGACCGAGAGTGGGCTCTGCGGTGGGCCGCTTGCCGGACCTGGTCTTGGTGCTGAAGACGCTGGTTCGGATCTGGTTGAAGGAGTCCAGGCAGCCTTCCAGCTCGGTGCTCTGAAGGCGCTTGAGGTCCCTCCCCGCCAGGTGAGCAGGCAAGTGGCATTCCAGTTCCGAGGAAGACCCTTTGAACTGCTTGAACCAATCCCACAGGGAGCGGGCCTGGCAATCGCACACCCACTGGTTGCCGTTGAGCCGCAGGTACTGGAGAGACCCCAGGGGCGCCATCGTCTCTCCCGTCAGCACCGTCAAGTTATTATTGAAAAGGTACAAGGTCATCACTTTCCCAAGGTCGTGGAAGGCCCGGCGGTGCACCACGCTCACCCGGTTCTGATGCAACAGCAGCCTATCCAGGCTCACCACGCCCCGGAACACGTTTTCCGACAAGCTCTTGATTTTGTTCCCGTGTAAAAACAAATAGGTGAGGTTAGCCAGATCCAGAAACGTGTCGTCCAGAAGCTCCTGCAGGTTGTTGTCCTGCAGGTAGAGATACTGCAAGGAGAAAAGACTCCGGAAAAGACCCGTGGACAACTCCAGCAGCCCGCAGCGATCAAGGTGCAAAGTGTGCAGGTGGACAAGGCCCTGGAAGGTAGAAGGGTCAATGGACTTCAGGTTGACGTTGTCACTGAGGTCAAGCTCTTCCAATTTGTCAAGCCCATAGAATGCCCCGGGTTCAATAAGACTAATGTGGTTGGAGTGGATCCAGAGAATGGACAAATTGCGGCAGGAAGTAAAGCTGGTGGACTGGATCAGGCTGATTCGGTTGTTGTGTAGGAAAATCCGCTGAGTCTGGACTGGGATCTCAAGGGGGATGGTGCCCAGCCCTTGCTGCTGGCAGCTGATGGTGATTTTCGGTTCACTGTAGCACACGCATGCTCCGGGACACAACGCCACTTCTGATGGGAAGTTCAAGCACAACACCAAAATCAGCAGTTTGCTTCCTGAAAAAAAGGTCCCAAAGGAAAGGGAGAGAAAGAGGAGGAAGAGGCAGATTAGATCATTTCTCTAGACCGACGTGTCATTTGTCATTCAAAACACACAAGTTTGAAAGGTACCGCTAGAAAAAGGCAGAAATTGCACCCAGTCTTGACAAATATGAATAAAAAGGCTTCAAATTGATCCAGCAACCTGGAATTAAGGAGAAAGTTCCTGACAGTGAGGACAATTAACCAGTGGAACAGCTTGCCATCAGAAATCGTGGGCGCTCCATCACTGGAGGTTTTAAAGAAGAGACTGGACAGCCACCTGTTTGAGACAGTATCGGTCTCCTGCTTGAGCAGGGGCTGGACTAGAAGACCTCCAAGGTCCCTTCCAGTTCTATTTCTATTTCTATTTCTATTTCTATTATTTCTAATTCTATTTCTATTCTATACCATCTCAGGCAGGTGACTGTCTAGTCTCTTCTTAAAAATCTCCACGATTTGCCCACGATTTCTGGAGGCAAGCTGTTCCACTGGTTCATTGTCCTCACTGTCAGGAAGTTTCTCCTTAATTCCAGGTTGCTTCTCTCCTTGATCAGTTTCCAAACATTGTTTTTCGTCCTTCCCTCTGGTGCTTTGGTGAACAACCTGGCCCCCTCTGCCTTGTGGCAGCCCCTCAGATACTGGAACACTGCTATCATGCCTCCCCTATTTCTTCTTTCCTTTAGACTAGCCAAACCCAATGTCAAATATGCAGCCTGACTTCCGATTTTCCTAACTCTGGACTCCAGTCATTAACCTGTTTTGCCTTTCATCTTTTTTTCCCTGTTTGGGAGGGACAGAGGGGGGAGTGGAAAAAAAAAGTTTTGCTGAAGATCCAGCAGGAAGAAGGATAATTGGTGGGGGTAAAACCCATTCACCTCTCATAAAGAAATCATTCAAAAAATTTTGCTTTTAGTTTCATCTTCCTGAGTTGGTTTTTTTTTTTTTTGGCTTCTTCTTTCATCTTCTCGTTTGTTCTTGAAAATGCAAGCTGTGCTTTTTGCACAGCAGTTGAAGGTCTGAGAAGGGGGCTTCCCCACCCTCCCCTTTGGGAATTGAGGCAGAAGGTGCGACACCTCCCCACCCACCCCAATCTGGCCTGGCCTAGCTCTGCGTTATGGGCTGGATCGAACCAAATCTCCAGGCTTGGCAGTTGAGCTGCCTCTCTCGCCTTCCAGCGTCATACAAAATTAGCCTAGAACTAAGGAGAAACTTCCTGACAGTGAGAACAATTAACCAGTGGAACAACCTGCCTGGAATGTATGTGCAACGGAAAGGAATCTCAGATCTAAGCATGATGTCATGTGTCTGATTAACGAAACACTTAGAAGGACTTTCAGGCATATTTTTATCCTAAAAGCATTTATTAAGGTTACAGAGATGTCAGTACGGCATGGTGGAAATGCTTAGATCTGAGATTCTTTTCCGTTGCACATACATTCCAGGCATTTTTCCCTCCCCTATTTTGGGGTCATGGTTCACATCTTCCAATTAACTTGGAAGATGTGATTTACTTCCGGTTTCTTT